TTTCTATGGTAGTGGTTTGATAAACAACTGCAACTACCATGTTTTTATCCTGAGGATCCTCTGCTTTCACAAACTAAGTTTATGGGGTTTTTTTTTGTGCATTTAACATGTGAGCAAAAAAAAAAAAAAAAAAAAATGGCTCCAGCAGAGATGCAGTCTCTGGGGCTTTTGTAATTTTTTGGTTTGGTTAGGTCAGGTCATCATTGACTTGGAAGAAGCATGTCCATGTCAGGTGCTGGGATGCCAGATATACAATGTTTGTTCTGGGTTAGTGACTGAGTAGTGAAAAAGCCTGGAGCTTGCACCATCAAAGTCAACAGCAAATTCTATATTTCTAAGCCCAGTAAGCTCCTTTAAACCAAACAAAACTGCTCTGGATGTTAAAACACTGATGGTTTACAAATTCATTACAAAATGCTTGTGATATGCAACCGATTTCCTTTTCATGGTACGTACCGTATTTTCCGGCGTATAAGGCGACTGGGTGTATAAGACGACCCCCTAATTTTCCAGTTAAAACATAGGTTTTGGGCTATACTCGCTGTATAAGACTACCCCCCTTCCGAGGCAACACCATTTAAAAACATCAGATTTTTTTAATTGAAATGGTTATGACTTACCAGTACTTAAAACCCTTCAAAATCTTCATGTTCATCCTCTGACATCATAAGTTCATGAATGACATCTTGGGATACATTTATAAGACAGTCATCATATGGATCAAATTCCAAATCAGATGGTTACCGCTAGATGTGCCGATATACGGTAGCTTCGGCTACATACAGTATACAGTATATATACAGCCCGCTGGATGTGCAGTAATGTACATACAGTATACCGCGCTGAGCCAAGCTGGCTCAAAACAAATGTCCCTATGAAATATTAATCTGTCAGCCCGCTAGATGTGCGGTATATACAGTATACTGAGCCAAGCTGTTTCAAAACGTACCGGTACGTCCCTACTGTAAGCAGCCCGCTGGATGTGTGTATGTATGGTAGCTGAGGCTACATACAGTATACGCTGGGCCAATCACGGCGGCGAGCGGTGTATTCTACTAATGAATACAAAGTCTGCTCGGATTGGCTGAGGTTGTGACATCATCAGCCCACCTCTCTGACTCAGCCAATCCGAGCAGGCTTTGTATTCATTAGTAAAATACATCACTCACCGTGATTGGCCCAGTGTATACTGTATGTAGCCACAGCTATCGTACATATACGCATTCAGCGGTCTGATTACTGTAGGGACGTACCGGTACGTTTTGAAACCGCTTGGCTCAGCACAGTATACTGTATATACCGTACATCCAGCGGGCTGACAGATTAATCTGTCATAGGGACATTGGTTTTGAGCCAGCTTGGCTCAGCACGGTATACTGTATGTACAGTATTACCACACATCCAGCCAGCTTGACCCAAACTCAAGGTTCTTATTTTATACCCCGCGTATAAGACGACCCCCAATTTTTGGGGTATATTTTTAAGTATAAAAAGTAGTCTTATACGCCAGAAAATACTGTACTTCCTTCACACAGATACATGATCACTTAACGATAATCCAGAACATCAAGCTACAGTAGAGTCAAAATAAAGGTAAAAAATGCAGCACTCCACAAGGATAAGCATGATTTGCTAATATTTATTATATACAAAATTAAGTTCCAAGAATTCTTATATACATTTACAAAGCAATCATATATAGATGACAAGACCAGTGCAACCATTTTACCGAAAGGCAAAATCAGAGCAAATAGATAATGCATAAATTTTCTGTGAAAAAAAACAATATCGTTAGCTGGCACTTTTACTATGTTTGTAATGTTGACCGTTCAGCTGCTAACAAACCATGTTTTCTTTGAATCTGAGTCATGGCCACATGTGCACTGAACAGCATTGCGAATAAACCAGGCCTTGGAATAGTGGTTAAAGAAAGCCAACTTTGGTAGGCTTTCCATGAAACATGTCCTTACACCACCCTAATCTGCTTTAGTATGGTTAGAGAACCTCCAGTAAAAGTACTTAACACACCAACATCTAGTATTTTGAAAATCACATGCAATGAATAAGGCCCATCTATGCCATTATGTTTTTTTTAACCCAAAAGCAAGTTTTAAGCTTAGTGAAAGGCCATAGGCTTAAAAAGAAGATCATTATACGTAAAAAAGCTCTATTAAATCCCCAAAGATTGGACAGTGCTCATCTCTGGAAACAGGGGTGCTTTAGAGATAAGGACCGACATTCAGGATGCCAGGAGGTAGGGTTCGTACGTTCATTTACACAAGTGCAAATTGTTCATTCACAAACGTAAACGATCAGTCAGGCCTACGGGGGTGTATGATGTATAAGCGTGCATATTCATTGCACCTCCCTGCAGTACTGACTGATGGTTTTCTTTTATGAATAGTCAGCACGGGCAAAGTTGTGTGTTAGAGATGCCGGATGCTAGTAAATATCCACTGCACCAACAGCTATATCACACAACCTCAACAGCGCTGACTTATCTTTTACTATTTTGAATAAACAGCCAAGGCTGTCAGGGCTGTGTGATGGAGCTGCCAGTGTCATGTATGTTTCCTAGCAGAAACAGCTCTATCACACAGCTCCCATAGTGTTGACTGATCATTTTTACAGCTGCTGTTTTTGGCTTTTGGCGGTTTCTTCCCCAGCACGTTATCCTATGTGTCTATGCACACATAGGCTTTAATCATCCTTTTTTGTGGCTGGAAAAAAACCACCAGAACTAGTGGGTTTCTAAAGGAGTTTTTTAGCTGTAAAAAAATAATGCGGCGAAGCGGTGGTTTTTTAAGCAAAATTTTAGCTACAAAAAAAAAAAAAAAACTGCTGAAAAACTTGTGTTTTTAAAACGTGACTTTACACAGCTAACGCAAGAAGTGTTATTAAAATGGCCAGTGTGCACTGAGCCTTATGAATGAACAGCCAGCACTGCCAGGGTTGTGTGATAGAGCTGTCAGTGTCATGTATGTTTACTAGCAGACAACAGCTCTATCACACAACCTCCACAGCGCTGACAACAGCTCTATCACACAACCACCTCAGCGCTGACTTATCTTTTACCATTTTGTGTAAACAGTCAGGGCTGTGTGATGGAGCTGCCAGTGTCATGTATGTTTACTAGCAGAAACATCTCTATCACACAGCTCCCACAGCGCTGACTGATCTTTTACTATTATGAATGAACAGCCAGAGCTGTCAGGGCTGTGTGATGGAGCTGCCAGTGTCATGTATGTTTACTAGCAGAAACAGCTCTATCACACAACCTCAACAGCGCTGACTTATCCTTTACTATTATGAATGAACAGCCAGAGCTGTCAAGGTTGTGTGATGGAGCTGCAAGTGTCAAGTAGGTTTACTAGCAGACAACAGTGCTGTAACTCTCCCAGAGGAACACTCATAAGTTGGGCTTCATTCAGAGGTGGAGCTACAGCACATCACTGACAGAATACATCTATTATATTTTTGAACCACTGCATGGATGCTATGTGTACTAGGCCACCTAGGGGATTTAACAGATTTTTACATGATACTTCTTCTTAAAAGCATATCTAAACCCAAAAGGGTGCTCTATTGCACCTAACCAGTCCTTAGATGAGGTGTTTTTTTTCAGTTATCCTTTTTCCTCAGGCTTTTATCCCTTGGTAATCTTACAAAAAAAAAAAAAAAAAAAAAACCACAACACACTTACAGTCCCTGGGTGGCTATGTTTACTCTAATAACCATATAGATGGAGGCATCAAGAGTAATTGGTATCACTAAAAATATGAAGTATTGCCCAATAACCAGAAAAGCCTACAAAAAAACAATGACAACAGAGAATTCACAAACGAAAAACAGTTACATAAAAGGACAATGCGATACTCAATGGAGTAAAGACTGCAAGGTAGCCATAGCCTCAATATTAGATGTCTAATAATTGAGGTGATGGCTACCTTGCAGTCTTCACTCAATTGTCTCATATTGCGATTTTGCTAATAAAAGCATATTCTGATTAAATTTTTTTGAGTATTGCATTGTCCTTTATGTAACTGCTTTTCTTTTGTGAATTCTCTGTTTACATAGTTTTTTTGTTGGCTTTTCTGGTTATTGGACAATACTTCATATTTTTAATGATTTTTTTTTTTGTTGGCTATGTTTACTCCTCCACTGCATCTTCGCTGGCAGCAATGGTTGCCAACCAAGGCTGAACTCCTAATATGACTGCCTCTGTTCATCTCCATTACATAGTGGCTGTTGGGATTAGTAGTTTACAGAGGATAGATAACATTTATTTTGTCTTCAATACAGCTCAGAGGAAGTAACAAAGACATTACAGGTAAGATCAACAGGTATATTCTGTGCTTGCTGAAAAGGTTCATATCTAAGGACTAGTAAACTGCAATAGATAACACTTTTTGTTCTCGAGTTTAGGCATGCATTAATCATTTAGAGCAGGGGTGTCCAAACTATGGCCCTCCAGGTGTTGAGGAACTGCATGTCCCATGAGGCCTTGCAAAACTCTGAAACCCACAGGCAAGACACCCAAAGGCAGAGGCATGATGGGACTTGTAGTACTTCAACAGCTGGAAGGCCATAGTTTGGACACCTCTGATTTAGAGGGTTTGCATTTACACTGCAACATAAAAAATACATAATAGTGGAAATTAGGATTAAAATTAAAGATTTTGTTGCTATTTTTTTTTTCTTTATTTAACTTCATATGAAAAACTATGTTTCATGTACGCTAAAGAGCATAATTGTGCACATATTCAATAAAAGTACATTATTACATAATATGGTTGAATAGTTACCTGGGACAGGTTTACATGTCTCAACTGTTCAGCGTTAATCTGTAACAATTTTTTTCCCCTTTCCTTGCTAAAATAAGGAAAGATGTCCATATTCAGATGATAACAATGCAGGTATGAGTGGCCATTTTCAACCCTGCAGCAAACACGTACAGATGTCAAAAGAAAATGTTTTCTAATTTCATATCTGTTCTTGCTTCAGTAGGCTCTACATGCCAGATCTTCATACATGCCAAACACAAAACTCTGATGGAAATCCTCTGTGTTTGTTAATAACTCAAATAAACGTTTGTACTGTTCTGGGTAGATATTTCCCGTTATTGAATTTTCTGGCAGATCTAAATGTTGTAATAACTGTTCTCCATCACCTGGGCTCCAGAAGCTAATCAGAACAAAAAAGCAAAAATCAACAACATTCTTAAATATTTTAATACAAACACCTGTCTAGTTTAACCACAAGCCTACAGGGCACTTACACCCCCCCTTCCTGCCCAGGGATATTTCCAGCTTTCAGCACTGTTGCACTTTGAATGACAATTGCGCGGTTATGCAACACTGTACCATTTGAAATTTTTTTGTGACAGATAGAGATTTATTTTGGTGGTATTTAATCAACTCTGGGTTTTTAATTTTTTCTTAAACCAAAAACCACTGAAAATTTTGAAAATTTCTTAGTTTTTGTTATAAAATTTTGTAAATAAGTGATTTTTCTGCTTCACTGATGTGCGCTAATGAGACTGCAGTGATGGGCACCAATGGGCATTGACAGGCATCACTGATATATGGCACTGATAGGCGGCACTGGCTGGCATGGTTAGGTGGCACTGATAGGTGGCACTGACTGGCACTGATTGGCATTGATAGGTGGCACTGATGGGTGACACTGAAAGGCAGCTCAGATGGGCACTGATATGTAGCACTGATGTGCACAGGTAAGCACTTATATGTGGCACTGATGGTCACTGACATCTGGCACTGAAGGAGACTAACAGGTGGTACTGCTGGGGCTACACTGATCATCAGGGCACACTGATCATCAGTGCTCTGATGATCAGTGTACATGTCCCCTCCATGGAATGCCGATTACCCGGCTCTCCTCTCCTCTCGAGCTGTCAGCGTGACAGCTCGAGAGGAGAGAAATGCCAATAACCAGCATTTCCGAAGGACACAGCGCACCGCCGATTGCCGCGTTGCGTGCTCTGGGAGCTGCACATGCACGGTTAAAATGGGAGCACGTCATACGAAGTCCTCCCAGAACGAGAGAACCACCTTGGGTCCATCATATTACTATATGGTGGGTGGGAGGTGGTTAATTGATATCAGTTGGTCACAGCTAGGCACATTTTTCTGCCTAGGGAATTAGCCAAGCTTCAATGGCACAGGAAACTTTTGGGAGTATCTAATCACGCATATAGGCCTTTTTCAGCGTGAAAAACTAGCACTGGTCTACTGAGGGAATAGGGCAGTTTTCCATTTAGAAAACTGCTGCAGATTCCTGCCAGGTGTGACCTGTCATACTGGATGTAAGCTGTGAGAAGACAGGTTACATCCCTCTCTTTGATCTTGCAGTGATTACACAAGTAGAGGCCACAGGGTTAACAATCCCCCTCCTCTCTCCTGCTCTGAGCTGAGCAGGAGGCTGCAATGATAGCAGAGAGAAAAGAGCATGCAGCTCTAGCTCTCCGTTTTCTGTGCTGCCCATCACAGAAACCGCATAACAGAGAATTGATCGCATCTAATTAACAAAGGGGGTTACATGCCTTTTGTTAATTAGGAGCAGCATCTGGTCCATTTTTTATGTTTAGAAGAGTAGTTGAAGCTTGTGCTTGCACCACTCTTTAATGAATTCCAGGGATAATGGGGGAATTAAAGTTGTGGACACTCATTGGAAATCTGTCTCCCATCTGTGCAACAAATGGCGCAACATGAGACAGATTTCTGTAACTTTCGGTAAAGTGTACACAAGTCTGTTGCAGAATTGCCTTAAGAAAAATGGAGGTGAATACAATCCTTCTGTGTGTCACAGACAAAATTTCACCTATCATCAATATGGTAGTATTTTCTAATCGATTTGTCGAAGCCTTAGCACCAGAATGTAAAAGTATCACCCATAAAAACCAATTTATTGCATACGTTAGAAACAGCAATAAAAAAAATGACACCGCTTTCAGAATTTTGGCGCAGGACTTTCTAATATGACCATAACACAAGCATAGTGTTGCAAATGCATTATTGAATCAACTCTACAAGTTGGATCAGCAAAACCTATCAAAGCAGTGCAAACCAGGCACTTCCTTTACACAGTGCAAGTCCATACTAGGCCTTCCCACTATACAGCCATTGGTAAATTTTAAAATAGTTGTACAGGTCAGACAGTAATATGTGTAGTCATTTTAATTTTGTACAATTGCTTTTGTTTTCAATGGTTTAACATAAATGATTTCTTGAAAAAAAAATACACATATCAAATTTAATTCCATAAAAAATATAAAATGTCAAAGTTCAAAAGACTGATTACATACATATAGATTACTTACAGTTCGGAAATTGAAATTAGTCCACTAACATATCGAATGATCGAGCATATCGAACGCTTTTTTGAACAATTTTCTAACCTTGTATATTTAGCATAAGGCCCTGCAAAACAGATTTAAAAGAAGTACAGTCAAAGCTCGTTTGGCTGTACTTCTCTTGTGGATCACAGGAGTGCAGTTCATTCTGCACTCCTGTGACCCATTTTCAGCCAACAGAGGACTAAAGTCTGCTGACGTCACTCAGCCAGTCCAGGCTGGGGAAAGATCCCGACTTTTAAGTCGGGATCCACTCAGATCCCTGGACTGACACTCCTCTCTTTTAAATTCTATGGATTGTTTAGATTTGCCATGTTACATATGGTAGTTTTGAAAAACTGACATGGTACATGGACTGTACAGACTGTAGTTCGCATGGACACTCAAGATATGACTGACTTATTAGAGACAACATACTTGTCTCAAGAGAATATACTGTTGTACTGAAGGGTATTTATAAATTATGTATGTGCATTCAGTCCAGAAGCAAGAACAAAAAAGAAAAGAAAAAAGGAGGATCATGTGAACCAAGCAAAATTAATAAACACTGTAAAAATTAATTATTTCTGCTTTGTTGCTTGAAAAAAATAATTGAAATAGAGTAATAGATTAGGTAATGAGGTACCATAAAGTCTGCTTTACGGTTTTGTTCAGCCTTCCATTTGTGTACAGACAAGCAAGCGCCTTAAAGGCTTTATCAGAATACAATGCAATTGGCTATGTTACAGTGTAGACACACGTACTTCTGTACAGAAAAAATTTATTAGAAAATGCTTAAGTATTTTACAAAAAAAAAAAGGCAGAGGTCACCAAAAAAAAGGGAACATCGACAGGTTAAAGCTTCTTGTTTGAGACACTTACTCAAGTTTAGATAGAAGTTTTGTCTTTCGCTTTGCAAGGCATTGCTTTACCACGTTGATAAACAATTTGCCATCTAATGGTGAAAACCGCTCAGAGAATAGGTTTCTTCGTGGAGTTAAGCGTACCAGACAAAGATTGCCACAGGAAGACTGCTGCAAAAATAATATTTCAGAAGTGAGCTGCAATGTTGAATATAAAAAAGAAGAAGTTTTACCTAAATTTACGGTGAAAATAATCAAAATGGTTGGTATTAACCACAGTGGTGCAGGCATAAAGCATTGTCAAGTCATCAAACACTGACAACACAATATCAAAAAACCACAGGTACTGCACAGAGAATGTGTATCCTAGGAAGAGGACATGCCAAAGTCAATTGTACTTGGGGGGAAATATTATCAGGATTTACAATTCTAACATATGACTGCATTGTGAATAAAAACATGCAAAGGATTAATTTACTATAGGAAGTGAAGGTAAATCTCCCCAATGGGACACAGATGGCAAAAAAAACCGACACTACCCAAAATGACTATGGTCAACCATGGCGAGGCTGTTCTGAACGGAATCTGTCCTGTTAAACTGCTGTATGGTCTTGGCTACCGTGCTGCAGCTCAGTTTCAGGGTATTGGCAAACTTCTTAAAGCCTAGGCCACTGATACTGTATGTAGAGCAACAATTCTTTTTTTCAGTTACTCAGAGAGTTCTCTGCCATGAGGTGCCATGTTGAACTTCAAGTGACCAGTATGACTGAGTGAGAGCGATAAAACCAAATTGAACACACCTAATCCCCCCATACACACCTGAGACCTTGTAACACTAATGAGTCACATGGCACTGGGGAGGGAAAATGGCTAATTTGGACATTTTCACTTAGGGGTGTACTCACTTTTGTTGCCAGTGGTTTAGACATTAATGACTGTGTGTTGAATTATTCTGAGAGGACAACAAATTTACACTGTTATACAAGCTGTACACTCACTACTTTACATTGTAGCAAAGTGTCATTTCTTCAGTGTTGTCACATGAAAATATATAATAAAATATTTACAAAAATGTGAGGGGTGTACTCACTTCTGTGAGATACTGTATGTCCGGACCTTTCAACATCCTTAGAGATTTCACCTGAACTCAAAGAGACCAGAACCCCTCCAGCAGAAGCAGTATCCTTGCCTGAGACATACAGTGTATTCAGAAATTATTCACAGTGCTTAACTTTTGCTACATTTTGTAATCGTTGCAATTTATTAAAAATAAAAAAACACATGTACATAAGGATTCACAGCCTTTACTCAATACTTTGTTGCAGCACCTTTAGCACCAATTACAGCCTCAAGTCATTTTGAGTATGATGCTACAAGCTTGGCACGCCTATTTTTGGGCAATTTCTACCATTCTTCTTTGCAGTACCTCTCAAGCTCCATCAGGTTGGATGGGAAGCGACGCTGCACAGCCATTTTCAGATCTCTCCAGAGATGTTCAATGGAGTTCAAGTCTGGGCTGTGGCTGGGCCACTCCAGGACATTCACAGAGTTGGCCCATAGCTACTCCTTTGTTATGTGGGCTGTGCGCTTAGGGTCGTTGTCCTGTTGAAAGATGAACCGTTGCCCCAGTCTAAGGGTCAGAGCGCTCTGGAACAGGTTTTCATCGAGGATGTCTCTGTAGATTGCAGTCTTCATCTTTCCTTCGATCCTGACTAGTCTCCCAGTTCCTGCCGTTGAAAATGATCCCCACAGCATGATGCTGCCACCCACCATGCTTCACTGTAGGGATGGTATTGGCCAGGTGGTAAGGGGTGCCTGGTTTCCTCTAGACATGATGCTTGGCATTCAGGTCAAAAGAGATCAATCTTTGTTTCACCAGATCAGACAGTTTTGTTTCTCATGGTCACAGTCCCTCAGGTACCTTTTGGCAAACTCCAGGCGGGCTGCCATTTGCCTTTTACTGAGGAGTGGCTTCCGTCTGGCCACTCTGATAGATGGAGTGCTGCAGAGATGGTTCTTCTTCGGGAAGGTTCTCCTCTCTCCCCAGAGAAACACTGGAGCTCTTTCAGAGTGACCATTGGGTGCTTGGTTACCTCCCTGGCAAAGGCCCTTCTCCCTTGATAGCTCATTTTGGCCGGACGGCCTGCTCTAGGAACATTCACAGTGGTTCCAAATGTCTTCCATTTATGGATGATGAAGGCCAATGTGCTCATTGGCACCTTCAACGATGCAGAAATTTTTCTGTACCCTTCCCCAGATCTGTGCCTTGATACAATCCTGTCTCGGAGGTCTACCGACAATTCCTTGAACTTCATGGCTTGGCTTGTGCTCCGACATGCACGGTTAACTGTGGGACCTTATATAGACAAGGTTATGTCTTTCCTAATCATGGACAATCAACTGAATTTCCCACAGGTGGACTCTAATCAAGTTGTGGAAAAATCTCAAGGATGATCAGTCGGAACAGGATGTACCAGAGCTCAATTTTGAGTGTCATGGCTAAGGCTGTAAATACTTATTTGCACGTTTTTTTTTTTTTTTTTTTTTTTTTTTTAAATAAATTGCAAAGATTTTAAAACAAACCTTTCACGTTGTTATTATGGAGTAGTATTTGTAGAATGTTGTGGAAAAAAATGAATTTAATCCATTTTGGAATAAGGCTATAACATAACAAAATGTGGCAAAAGTTAAGCGCTGTGATTACTGTCTGGATGCACTGTATCCAAGATTAAACCCAAGTATTCCAGGCACTGAGTTGGAAACAAAGTCGACTGCTGAAGATTTAGCACCCAGCCAAACTTCTCCAGGGCTGGAACTGTCATCTGGATATTGTGCTTTCATTCTCTTGCTCTTGTAGGAGTAAGTCCTCCAGGTATTGCAAAATGGGACTCCTTCGGGTTCCCAACAACCCCAGAACCAGAGCTAGCACCTTGGATAATAGCCTGTGAATCATGGACAGACTGAAGGGTAATGCCACAAACTGGTAGTGGTGATCCTGCACTGCAAAGCACAGAAATCATTGATGAAGCCGGAAAAACTGGGATGTGTAACTGACACCAGGAAGTCCCCTTGAGGAAGTGAAGCACTCACTGACCAATAATGAATTTTTGAATTTCAGTAGGCCCAAGCTTCTCATATAAATGGCAGGCCCGCACTTAAAGGGCTTTTAGGGACTCCACTCCCCTCCAGGATGATCACTGCCCTGGACCTGTAGAGCACCTGGCCAGTGAGATAACCACATATTCTGGAAAGAGACAGCCAACAGACAGACAGACAACAATCACAACATGATGGAGCTGCTAATAATCAGAAACATGTTTATTTGGCTTGTACAGTTGTTTGGTTTAGAGGACTTTTCTCAACACTTACCCCAGATTTGACTACTGAAGAAGCTTTACGCTTTTTGGGTGAAAAAAAAAAATGTAGAAATGTTCTCCTAGGGAAAAAAAACAAAAACAAATTGCATTATTTACCAATGTAGTATATGGAAGGAAAAACATACAATCAACACTGAGTTCCCCCGTGCAGTATGCTTGCACTTCTCCTCCAAGTTCTCACACAGTGCTCTGCTCAATTTCAGGACAACACAACTGTGAGAAAGTTTGCAGGATTTCTGCATGAATAGTTCATAAAATGGTATCCGATCTTTATCTAGGTCACAAAAAACGGCGCCCGCATTTTCAAGCTGTGTGTGCTCCCTGGGAGCACGCAGCACTGCAATCCGATGCCTGTTGTGTCCTACGTACACAGTGGAAACCACTGTGCGAGGTCCCGATCATGTGATCACTGATTGGCCAAATCAGTGATCACATGCAGAGTAGTAAGCCAGATGTCACTTCTGACATCATTGCTTACTACGTGTGAAATCTGGGAATGATCACAGAGGTCATATGGTACAAGGCTATTCACAACAGCCTTGTACCATGTGACAAGCTGTGACCAATCACAGCTCACACAGCATTTCTCAATGGCTGCAAGAATGCAGCCAGAGAAAAGGAGAAATGATTGCTTTTACATCCTTCATGAGTGTAAAAGCAATCAGTGTAAAAAAAAAAAAAAAATCTTCATCACCCCCCACAAGTAGTACAGTGTCACTATGGTGACACTGTACTGCTAGGATGACAGTATGTTTAAAAAATCCATAAATAATAATATAAAAAAAAATAAAAATGTAAAACAAATGTTTTTAAAAATTATAATTTTTGGTTATAAACTAATTTGGGTTATTTTGTTTTACTAAAAAGATAACTGAATAAATTTTGGCCAAGATTTATGATGAAATATTATTTATTTGCAAAGTTTTATAAGAAAAACTTTTTTTTAAATTTTTTGGACATTTTCATTTATATAGCAAAAAAAATAAAAATCTCAGTGGTGAATAAATACCACTAAAATAAAGCTTTATCTGTCTCAAAAAAATGCCAAAAATTCATATGGGTAGTGTTGCATGACCGCGCAATTGTCATTCAAAGTGTGATAATGCTGAAAGCTGAAAATTGGCCTGGATAGGAAGGGGGTGAAAGTGTCCCAGACTTGAAGTGGTTAAATGTCCCAGCACGGATAGGCTGATCCTCTAGTTTTAGAATGGTGTGCACTACATCATGAAAAGCCAAAAGATTCTATTTGGGGGTAACAGCAGTAGACTGCAACTCCTCAGTGGCAAGCTCATCGGTTAAGGGTTGAAGTAACCCAGAATCTGACAGAATCTCTGCGGCCAATGGCTTGGAAGCTGCTAAAGCTGTGAGTAAATCATATGTAGAATCAGCAGGAGTGGGAGCAGTTTGCAGTCGTAGTCAGCAAAGTACTGGCTAATGCAGGCCATAGACGGGCCGTTTATCGGCTGAATTGTCGGCCAATAAACGAAAAATCGGTCGGTGCAGTTTCCGATGCTGCCACCAATATCCACAAAAAACATCCATTTTTCGTGAATTTTCCAGCATGACCGATAAAAATAAATGAGAAGATCCGCGCAAAAAAAAACTGCCGACGGGCTGGCCCCACTAACGGCGTGAATATCAGCCGAATTTTCAGCCGCACGAAAAATCGGCCGATAAACGACCTGTCTATGGCCTGCATAATTGAGGTCATAAAATCTTAAAACTATGCCTGTGATAAACAGCTGGACCTGGATAGCTGTTAGCAGATAAGGGTCAGATAGCCAGAGGTAACTAAAGTTACTGTAGGCAAGCAGCAGGAAGAGATCAAAAGATTATCATGTGGCTCATACAAGAATGAGCAGCAGCAAAGAGATGCTTATTCAATACTTTATGGCGGAAAAGAAAGCCAACCTGAAAACGTCTGTGGATAATGTCAACACTCAAAGTTAACCCCTCCCACATTAGAACCGGTGAGAGAATGGGGAATAATGTGCCCAGCAACCCAATTAAACGAGGTAGCGCCCAGTGCTCAACCCAACTGGCCTACTATGTCTTCGGAAACAGAGCAAGTGCAATAGCAGCAGCTCTGAAGCTAGAACATGCTCTGCAGCTAGTTTATACCAGAACAGAGTCTGGAATGCGCCCTACACAGAAACTCAGTTCCCAAAGGTCATTTCTAGCCTATCCCTGCACATCAAGTCCTGCGGCATTTGTACAGGGTACAGGTGCCTGGGGGGAAAAAAAAAAAAAAAGCCCAAAAACAGTCTTGGCACAGCTGACACTAGCAAAAAAACAGGCATGATGGAAGTGAGAGGGACTCCCTGGGCTGGCCTACAGTTTTGTTTGTCCAAACCTTCAGTATAACCTAAAGATTAAAGGCTTCCCATGTCCCTCAATAAGAAAGAAAAAAAAAAAAAAAAAACTCCTCAGAATACTCAATATTTTGCACTTGCTCAAGCCCATATCCACCTTCAGAGGTCCCCCCCACCCCCAGTGATTGGCTTGAAGAGCAGAGGGAATCTTGTGAAGGTGATGCATTTATGATTAGAATGAGTAGAACCAACAATATGCGATATGACCCAAGCATTACAGCGACACATCACGTTTCCTCAAAGTGGAAAAATAAAGGTTTCAAAGCTAAAATAGATGAGCAGAAATCAAAGGGTTGTGTCATACATGAACTTCTCTGCTTAGTTTTCAAAGTTTCTTCTGGCTCTAAAAGATGATATATACCGTGTGCAGCAGTTGAATATCACAGGCTAACTGGTAAAGCACCGGAAGTGCTCGATACTGTCGCAAGTCTCCAGGTTCAGCAAGGAGGCTCTAGAATGGAAACAGTATGGTTATGTCAATCCATTTAAAAACATTTCACTGCGACCAACATCTTTACATGGAAGCTAAAGAAACACAACTTTTCCTGCTGCCACTTTAAGGCACGGAGCTGAGAAGGAGTCACCCGTTTTATTATTAGACACAGAGGGATACAAAAAATATTTGTGGATAGGATACTGGCCAAAATATACAGACAAGAGTTACCTCAAAAAGTACTGAGTAACTGACAACAAACATTACAAACCTCTCAATAACTCTGCCTCCACATTAAGCTCCCTTTTCACCACGGGAAGCAATTAAGCCACACAATTGCCTAAAGTGTTACTAAACCCAGGACCCTGCATTCACTGTATCTGCTCTCCCACAGTACACAGAACATGGAAATGCAATTATTTTAGTAAATAAAAACTGCTAAATACCTTCTCTCATCAGCAGTATGTAGCAGTCTTGTATCCATCAGTGTACTGGTTAAAGTTTGCAGGAGTTTTTTTGCTGCGCTGTCCTAAGAGGCTGCATAACCCCTGATTCTCTGTCTAGACCAGCGGTTCTCAACCTGTGGGTTGCGACCCCTTTGGGGGTCGAACGACCCTTTCACAGGGGTCGCCTAAGACCATCGGAAAAACACATATTTCCGATGGTCTTAGGAACCGAGACACCGCTCCTCTGTCTTCAGGTAGGTCCGCCCACATGCAGATACTCTATGAGGTAGTGGTGAGGGCAGCCGGAGGGGCTCGGCAGGGTGTCCTGCACTCCCGGCTTTCTGCAAGCCTCTCACGCTGAACTAACACCAGCACACTGACTGGCCCGCTCCCTCTTTCCTGTGCGTTATGAGAGGCTGGAGGCTCCTCCGTTGCAAGGGGCGGGTCGGAGGTGCCCTGCTGCCACCCATTGGCTGCCCTTGCACCTGCTGCATGTTTCCCCTGGCGGGCAGCTGCTCACAACAGCTGAATAGATGCGAGTCAGGTCCCCCTTTGTCTCCGGGGAAGGGGAATCCGGTTACCCGCAGAGCATGCGCCCTGCAGCCGCTCACCTCCCACGGAGGCTTCTCCTCACAGCACGAGGGCTGGCACCGGGGTACCCAGCCCGCTAGAGGAAAGTACACAGCGACCAGCAATCCCAAGCTTTCCGGGGTCATAAAAGGAGCCTCAGGACAGACAACTTGGTGTGGGAGAGGGCTGATATCCCTGGGGGGAGGGGGGGGGGGGGGGGGGGGGGGGAATACTGGCCATACACACTTCAATTTTACTATCAGGTAGAATTGGCAATCAGATTAACTTCCATTCCCATGAAATTCTTTCAGTCGATTGACCAGGGTGCAAAATGATTGACCGTTTTGCAATAATTTTATGGTTGGGGGTCACCACAACATGAGGAACTGTATTAAAGGGTCGCGACATTAGGAAGGTTGAGAACCACTGGTGTAGACAGTGCTGATTGGCCCTGGGCTGATCATATGCAGCCAAAAAAAAAAAAAAACTCTCTAGCAATACACACCAAACTGAGCATGAGCAAAGTGACTCCCGGAGTTCTGTACTATCAGCAGATGGATTGGGGACAAGAGAAGAGGAGGATCAGAGAAGACAGGATCAAACAGCCTTTTTAAAACACAATGCGGAGGATTAACCCCATAGGTTCCACATCGAGTAGAACAAGAATGCTTTACTGCAAATACTGTACAGACTAATTTTACTGTTGTGGGTTTAGTAACACTAAGATGGGAAGAACATTTGTCTATGGCTATTACCTATGGGATTCCAAGGAGAAAGTTATGCTACCCCTATGCATAATGATTAGGATCTATGATTAGCTTTGATGTGAAGTTATGAAGCAGTATATGCATAATAAAAATAAAGCATACCTTGTACAGCTTCTCACTCATGAAAAAATTGAACTCAATTCTTCCATATCTGAAAAGTTCCAGCCTCTCATATAGAGAATAAATATAACGCCACAAAATATGCCTCTCTTTTGCCTGGTGAAGTATCCCAAAAACTTTTATTGGAATTCCTACATAGTTAAAAACAAAATAATTTTCAGTGTTCGAGCCATCACAAAATAAACCAATTTGTAGGTCATTAAAATATATTAAACCATAACTTGATAAAAAATTATCTTCTTCAGCAACATGCCACATTAATAATTGTGCTACCAAAATTAGTGTGTTCTGTAAACTGCCTGCAGCATTGTTCCTGTTTCTTCTTTCTGGAAGCTGCCATTTTGCTGAATCCCAGAGCCCCTGAGCTACAGTAAATCTTTAGGCTGTTAGCAGACCGGCCTCTACATTTTTGGCACAGTGCTGAAAAAAGAAAGAGCAACTGAGCATGTGCAGTGCAAGGTGAGACAGCGTATTACTAGATTTTAAACAGTATAGGCACTTATCTTTTAAAGTGGTTGTAAAGGCTCCCCCCAATACTTACCTGAGCTTTATTGCAATCCAGAAATGTGCATGAGAGCCTTGGCTCTCTAGGGACTCTCCCTCCTCACTGGCTGAGACAGCAAAAGGAGCCATTGGCTCCAACTGCTGCCAAGCACAGTCAGTGAGCCAATGAGGAGAGGGAGAGTGTGGGGCTGAGCTATGGCTGTGTGTGTGAATGGAAACACAGTAGCGGCTCAGTAGCAAGCCTGCTCGGGTGTCCCCAATAGCAGGTTTCTTGCTCAGGGGGAGCTAGGCAGGAGGGAGGGGCCAGGAGCGCCAGCAGAGGGCCCGAGAAGAGGAGGATTGGGGCTGCTCTGTGCAAAACCACAGAGCATGTAAGTATGACATGTTTGTTATTTTAAAAACAAATGTTTTACATAGCTGCAAAAAGGGGCTAGCTTGAAGTGATCTAGCAGGAATTCATTTTCCGACTAAAGTTCCACTTTAATCATAATTCCATATGCAAGATTTGAAGCTAAACTCCAAACAGATAATTCAGTTACGGTTATTAAAAAAAAAAAAAAAAAAACAAAAACAAAAAAAAAAACACACACACACATTAAATGTATTCTTTTAAAGATTTAGCATTAGCACAAGTGCCTGAATCAGTTTTGATATCAACAGCAATCTCCTGCATAGCAATGATCAGACTGGGAAGGGCATTCTGAACCAAAAAGGGCTCAATTACTTTTCACATTGCTGTCAGCTCATCACAGGAACGATGCATACAGGAGGGGAGAGATGAAGGATGAAAGTCTGCAGCTTGCTTATTATCTAGTTAGAGGTTTGGGTAGTTTGCTGAGATCTGTCAGGAGTTCCAGGACATTGTTGTGCTGTCTGACAGGGGTACCTTGATCACAAGAACAAACGACCAGGTTTACAAATCCTATGCAGGCAAGGCAGTGGACATATTTGAATTTCAACATTAGCAGTTTACCTGGAGAGTTCAGCCAACCTGCACCTAGATCTGATATTTTAGTGTGATACAGTTTGCAACCACATCGTATACTGGTTAGTAGTTTCTTCTAGGAACTCCAGTGTTAAAATCCCCTCTATATATACCCCCCCTAGACTACACATCATGTTCCCAGAAACGTCCCATCTTTGCTTCTTGGGATTGTGGCCTAACTGGCACCCTTGTCTATACATTTTGGGCCTTTCCAAGCCTTTCATTGATATGAAATAAGATATCTGCAGTGGCCTCTGCGGTGGCTAATGCCCCAGTGCATTTGTCTATGCAGACTTGCCTACTGGGAGGTCATATCCCAGGAATACAGACTGAGGCTATGAGGCTGATTCACACCATCTGTGTCTCAGCCCTATGGGCCATTGCCCTTCGTTGGAAAGAACCTACGGTACCATTGGCCTCAATTTTACGATGGGTTGATGCGGTAATGCTCATGGAATGTATTCACTTGAAGTTACTGGATAGGATGCACTTACTGACATAAAAATGGGGTGTTTGGAAAATTCATAGACATTTACTATCTTACCAATGATTATTCATGCTTTAATTGATGATGTCTTACTGTTGGGGGCTTTATTGCTCTGCCTACCTTCCTGCCTACCTTCCTAATGTACTTTAAATTTATGTTCTACATAACTGTACCTTTTTGTAATAAGTATTACAGATGTGCCTCTTTTGTATGTTATACCTTATGCTGTTCAGCTGTTTTTGCAGCCTATTTCTTAATAAATAAAAACGTTTGTAATCAACCAAAAAAAAAAAATCCCCTCTATAATTTCTAATTCCACCCACCAAAGATGCATTTGCACACCCACCTATTTAATATAAACAAACAAGTGAATGAGTAATGTATTAACGCTTACAGTGTAATATAACCAATATTATAGGAGTTCTTTGGTGACAACATACACTTTCATTCCATAACAGCGATTGTAGTAAAAATACAAATAAATAGTTATTTTAGACACAACATAAAAGGAGATTTTTCAAGTAAGCTTTTAGTGGTTTAAGTCCTGCCTGGTCGTCTCTATCTACACCTTCCTGGATTCCCTGCATGCTTTACAGTTTCTCCTCTATTGTTTACTTTCAATTTCCAAGGACATCATATGCCATGGTGCCTTGCTGCCTACAAGCTATAATTACTGTACTGCCTCCTGAATCTACCTGCAAGTGATACATTGATTACAACCTTGCAGAAAAGGGAGCGAGTGTTAAAGGAGAAGTTTAACTTAAAAAAATAATAAATGCAAATGTTTTTGCAGGAAAAAAACAAAATGTATCATTATTATTATTATTTTTTTTTACAATTGAGCCTGCAGAGTATTGCACCTGCAATCAGTGGATTAGGCTAGGTACCTAAATATCCATCTGGGTGTAATGGTCTTTTAATGAACATAAAATGGACAATAACTATATGATGTAAAGATATTTCTATGAATGCACGTTTTTTGCATTATTACAATGAAATGCTGCAATGGAAAAATAACCCAAAATTTCTGTTCACTGGGAATTCAGTTCTAATCTCAAGTCTAGGTTCACACCTATGAGTTTTCCGTTGCATTCTGCAAAACGCACAGCAGTCCACTTAACACGATTTCATATGGGACAGGTTCACTTCTCCGCATTTTCACCCGGTGCGAAAGAGTCAGGGACATTTTTTAAATGTAAAACATTGCATTTTTGGTTCTATGGAGACGCTGCAGAAAAGAACATAGGGCGTTTTTGATGCACAACAAGTTGGGGGAAAAAAAAAAAAACCCGCAAAAAACTGCAGAAATGGATCAAACGTTAACTGCATAGGTATGAACCTAGCCTAAGACTGTTATAAACAGGAGATTTTGACCACATACTTAAAAAAAATTTGTAGCTCTTTACAACCTGGTGCATCAGGTGTCTTTGTCATTTATATGCTTAGGTGCAGTGCAGGGAAGACATCAAGGGTCTAATTTAACCACTGACGTCTCCATAAAGAGTACCTGTCACCAGTAAAACAATATCAAATAGGGGGCTCATAAGCCCCATTGTGATAACAATACAGTTTGGAAAAAAAAAAAAAAAAAAGAAAAAAATTTCATACATAATACCCACATCTCGATCTAAAATGTGTGTACATTAAAAAAAAAAAAAAAAATGGTCTGAAAGCAAAAGGGTTATTTTTTTTTTTGCAGCATTTTGAGACGGGAGGGAGGGCCATATTAACCGTTTCAATACCGTGCAATTTTACACCTTCCTGCCCAGGCCATTTTTCAGGTTTCAGCGCTCTCACACTTTGAATGACAATTGCGCGGTCATACAACACTGTACCCAAACTAAAATTTTATCATTTTCTTCACACAACTAGAGCTTTCTTTTGGTGGTATTTAATCACCGCTGGGGTTTTTAATTTTTTGCTAAACAAAAAAAACACAAAAATTAAAAAAAAAAAAAAAACACATTTTTCTTTGTTTCTGTTATAAAAGTTTACAAATAAACAATTGTTCTTCATAAATTTAGGCCGAGATGTATTCTGCTACATGTCTTTGGTGAAAATAACCCAAATTAGGATGTATTTTTTAGTTTTTAGGAAAGTTATAGAGTTCACAAACTATGGTATAGATCTGAAAATTGATCAATCCTGAAGTACTGACAGCCAATCTAATTTCTTGAGGTCCAAGAATGTCAGAATAGTACAGATATCCCCAAATGACCCCTTTTTGCAGAGTAGACAGTCCGACGTACTTCATAAGAGGCATGGCGAGTTTTTTGAAGTTGTATTTTTTTGTCATAATTTTTCGGAAAATGAAAAAATGAAAAAAATTATTTTCACTATTTTTTTTTACATACTGTCACCAGTGTAGTACAGTGTCATCATATAACTGGCATGGCGGTGAACAGGGACACTGACTGGTGACAGTATGAAAAAAAATATATATATATATTTTTGATTTTTTTATTATATTTAATTTTTTATTCCATTTTTTTTATTTTTTTTAAGATTTTTTTTCATATTTTACTATGACCAAAATAGTACAATGTTACCATAGTAACATTGTACTACTTTGGGGAAGTGATCAGTATTTTTTTTTTTTTTTTTTTTACACAATTTGCTTATAGCAAAGAATTACTTTGCTATAAGCAAGCATTTACCTGAATGAAATCGATTCATTCAGCTTTTTTTTTTTTTTTTGCTTGTGCTTAGCTGTGATTTGGTCACAGCTAATCACATGACATGTGCATGTGATTAGCTGTGAACATTCACAGCTAGGCACTAGTATACAATGGATGGCATCATGAATGAAGCCATCCATTGTATACAACTGTCATGTGACCTGCTGTGATTGGTCACAGCAGGTCACATGGTACCAGCAACGGGAGCCGGTACTCGGATCTGTCATCGGCCGTGTCCGAGGTGCACGGCCGATGACAGATCGCACTGCTGCGCCGCTCTGCACTAGCGCAAACGGCGCATGTGCGGGAGCACGCCAAATGGCGTGCACCCGGAATGCAGATACACATCTGAAGCCACCAAACGGCCATTGGCCGGGCGGCTAATGGTTAAATATGTTTCACTGCAAGGTCCAATTTGTGTCTTCACCACAACTAATACAACATTGTTCTGATCAAAATCCATGTGGTATAAAGAAAAAAAAAAAAAAACCAAAAAAAAAAAAAAACCACTAACCTGTATCCCAGGGCACCTCACTGATGCCCAACTGTTCCATCAAGTCATAAGAATAAATAGTGGGAGCCTGGGCATTATTTTCAAAAAAAGGATCTAGAGTGAAGAAGTTACAGTGGAGTACTCTTAGTTGCCCACGTGCGACATTCTCCAATTTCTGAGAAAAACAAGATGTTTTGGTTCAAACAAAAAGGCAGAATTATGCACATAGTCATACAGAAAAACCCCACAAAGAAATATATTTGGATTGCCACCTTGGCTATTCTTCAGCCAGTTGCTATGCCATATCACATTGCATGTAAATATCTTATTTGTGAAATATACTTTTTAAATGTTTGATAAATGTAGATCAAGTGTATAGCAAAATATTGCTGCCTCTCCTTTGTACCAACATCCCAATGTTCATATGAAAATTGAAAAATAAAATTTCAGACTTTACTGTTACCAGGGAACACACTACTTATAATCAATAAAATCTTTATTTTTATTACACTTGTACACCCTATTCCAAATTATTATGCAAATTCTATTTAAGTGTCACAAAGATTAAATATTTTGTTTTTCAGTGTAACTCATGGATGGCATTGTGTGTCAGAGCTCTTTTGATCACTGAAAACAATTTCGGACACCTGTGATAATTAGATTGGTCGGTGAGCCCAATTTAAGCAAAAACTACTAAAGGATGGTGTTCCACATTATTAAGCAGAGCACCATTTTCAAGCAATATGGGGAAGAAAAAGGATCTCTCTGCTGCCGAAAAGAATGAAATAGTTCAATGCCTTGGACGAGGTATGAAAACATTAGATATTTCACGAAAACTTAAGCGTGATCATCGCACTATTAAGAGATTTGTGGCTGATTCAGAGCACAGACGGGTTCGTGCAGATAAAGGCACATTGAGGAAGATTTCTGCCAGATCCATGCATCGGATCAAGAGAGCAGCTGCTAAAATACCATTACATAGCAGCAAACAGATATTTGAAGCTGCTGGTGCCTCTGGAGTCCCACGGACACCAAGGTGTAGAGTCCTCCAGAGTCTTGCAACTGTGCATAAACCTTCTATTCAGCCACCACTAACCAATGCTCACAAGCAGAAATGGCTGCATTGGGCAGAAAAATACATGAAGACTAATTTTCAAACAGTCCTGTTCACTGATGAGTGCCGTGCAACCCTGGATGGTCCAGATGGATGGAGTAGTGGATGGTTGGTGGACGGCCACCCTGTTCCAACAAGGCTGCGATGTCAGCAAAGTGGTGGGAGAGTCATGTTTTGGGCCGGAATCATGGGAACAGAGCTGGTCGGCCCCTTTAGGGTCCCCGAAGGTGTAAAGCTGACCTTTGCAAAGTATGTGGAGTTTATGACTGACCACTTTCTTCCCTGGTACAGAAGGAAGAACTATGCTTTCCGTAATAAAATCATCTTCATGCATGACAATGCACCATCTCATGCTGCAAAGAATACCTCTGCATCAATGGCTGCTATGGGGATAAAGGAAAGAAAGTCATGGTGTGGCCTCCATCCTCCCCTGACCTCAATCCTATTGAGAACCTTTGGAGCATCCTCAAGCAAAAGATCTATGAGGGTGGGAGGCAGTTTACATCCAAACAGCAGCTCTGGGAGGCTATTCTGACATCTTGCAAACAAATTCAAGCAGAAACTGTCCAAAAACTCACAAGTTCAATGGATGCAAGACTTGTGAAGCTGCTATCAAATAAGGGGTCCTATGTTAAAATGTAATGTGACCTGTTAAAATGTTTAAAAAGTTAAAATGTTGTTAAAAGTTTGATTGAAATAGCTTTTGATTTCAGTAAATATGCTGCAAACACAACAAATGAAAATTTTCAGGTCTTTACAACCTATAAAGTGTTTTGAAACTTACTGTGCGTAATAATTTGGAACAGTGCATTGGAAGTTTTTTATGTTTAAAAAAAATACTGTTATGATTAGGAGGTTTTTTTCAATAAAATTTGAATTGTACACTTAATAGTTGATAACATGAGAATTATGCTGACTTATTTACATCAACTACTTAGGTAAATGAGAAAAATACATTTGCATAATAATTTGGAACAGGGTGTATAAAATGCAAACTAACAAAAAAAAAAAATCACTAAAAACAATAGGTCATCACTCAAATAGATAATTTCTTTAATAAAAAAAAAAGGGTTTTTTTTAAGAGAGTAGAAAAGGATTAGGAATAGAACAAATGTCAGTTTTTGGGGTTTTTTTTTTTACCCTATTTGTCTTGTTGACTGTTATTACCAAAAATGAAACAAAAGCCCAAATTTATCCCTAGAACAGGAATAGTGGGAAACGGTTCCAGTGGGGACACTAGTTCTGGTGACAACCAGGGATTCAATCACTTTGGAAGGAGAACCGCTGGCTGAACCCAGAGTAAGTGGCTGCTTCCAGATGACGTGACACACAAAGATGGTGCGTGTGGAACAAAAGGAAAGAGGATCTCAGCAAGACACAGCTGGATCAGCTGTATGGGCGAGTAGGTTTACAGTGCAGGACCCACAACCAGGTAAGCAGGGGTTTAACCACTAGCCTACAGGGCACTTCTGCCCCCTTCCTGCCCAGGCCAATTTCCAGCTTTCAGCGCTGTTGCACTGTGAATGACATTTACGCGGTCATGCAACACTGTACCCACATTAAATTTTTATCATTTTTTTGTGACAGATAGAGCTTTATTTTGGTGGTATTTAATCACCTCTGGGTTTTTTATTTTTTCTTAAACCGAAAACCACTGAAAATTTTGAAAAAAAAACATTTTTTCTTAGTTTTTGTTATAAAATTTTGTAAATAAGTGATTTTTCTCCTTCACTGACGTGCGCTAATGAGGCTGCACTGATGGGCACTGATAGGCTGCACTGATGAACACTGATGAGGAGGTACTGGTAGGTGGCACTGATGGGCATTGACAGGCATCACTGATGGGCACTGAAAGGCAGCATTCATATATGGCACTGAAAGGCAGCTCAGATGGCACTGATATGTGGCATTGATGGGCACTGGCAGGTGGCATGGACGAGCACTGATGGACACTGACAGGTGACGCTGCTGGGGCTACACAGATCATCAGGGCACACTGATCATCAGTGCTCTGATGCTCTGTGTACATGTCCCCTCCGAGGAATGCCAATTACCGGCTCTCCTCTCCTCACGAGCTGTCAGTGTGACAGCTTACATGTGATCAGCTGTGATTGGACACAGCTAATCACATGACCGAGCCGACATCTTCGGCTCTTTCCGTGGATCGGTGATCCGCTGTGTCCGAGGGCCACAGCGCACCGCTGAACGCCATGCTGCGTGCTCCTGGGAGCCGCGCATGTGCGGTTAGAATGGGAGGACGTCATATGACGTCCTCCCAGAACGAGAGAACTACCTTGCATCCGTCATATTACTATATGGCGGGCGGGATGCGGTAAAAAAAGAAAAAGAAAAGAAATAGAAAAAGAAGAAGAAGCAGAAGAAGAAGGAGGGAGAGAGGGTAAAGGTTCTCTAAAAAGGACAGACACACACACTAAAAAGTCTACACACCCCTGTTAAAATGTCAGGTTTATGTGATGTAAAAAAAACCAAAAAAAGAAAGATAAACCATTTCCGCACTTTTTCCACCTTTAATGTAACCTATAAATTGTACAACTCAGTTAAACAACAAACTGAAGGTGGAAGTAAAAAAAAAAAAAAATAATAATAATAATAAGGTTGCATAAGTGTGCACACCCTTAAACTAATATTGTTGAAGCACCTTTTGATTTTATTCCAGCACTCAGTCTTTTTGGGTATGTGTCTATCAGCATGGCACATCTTGCCCACTCTTCCTTGCAAAAACACTCCAAATCTGTCAGATTGCGAAGGCATCTCCTGTGCACAGCCCTCTTCAGATCACCCCACAGATTTTTGTTCGGATTCAAGTCTGGGCTCTGATTGGGCCAGTCCAAAACTTTAATCATATTCTGGTGAAGCCTCTATTGATTTGGATGAATACTTTGGCTTGTTGTCATGCTGAAAGATGAAGTTCCTCTTCATGTTCAGCTTTCTAGCAGAAGCCTGAAGGTTTTGTGCCAATATTGACTGGTATTTGGAACTGTTAATAATTCCCTCTACCTTGACTAAGGCCCCAGTTCCAGCTGAAGAAAAACAGCACCAAGGCATAATGCTGCAACCACCATGCTTCACTGTGGGTATGGTGTTCTTTTGGTAATGTGCAGTGTTGTTTTTGCACCAAACATATCTCTTGGAATTATAACCAAAAAGTTCAACCTTGGTTTCATCAGACCATAACATTTTCCCACATGCTTTTGGGAGACTTCAGATGTGTTTTTGCTAAATTTAGCCGGGCTTAGATGTTTTTCTTCGTACGAAAAGATTTCCGTCTTGCCACTCTACCCCATAGCCCAGACATATGAAGAATACGGGAGATTGTTGTCACATGTACCACACAGCCAATACTTGCCAGATATGCCTGCAGCTCCTTTAATGTTACTGTAGGCCTCTTGGCAACCTCCCAGACCAGTTTTCTTCTCGTCTTTTCATCAACTTTGGAGGGATGTGCAGTTCTTGGTAATGTCACTGTTGCGCAATATTTTCTCCACTTGATGAGGACTGTCTTCACTGTGTTCAATGTCATATCGAATGCCTTGGAAATTCTTTTGTACCCTTCTCCTGACTGATACCTTTTAACAATGAGATCCCTCTGATGCTTTGGAAGCTCTTATACTATATATATAGTGACAGGAGGGCAGGTAGAACAAAGGGATGTGTCCAGGATGGGAGGTATGTTTGTCCCAGGTTCATGCTTTACACTGACCGTTTCTCCTTTGGTGCGGTGTAGTGAGCCTGTCTGGCTCGCTGATGATTAAATGAGCTCAGGTGTAGTGAGCTAAAGGCTCTATAAAACTCCCAGGCTGCTTAGGGAGGATGCTCCAACCTGGAACCAGTTTGCTGTGCAGGACAGACTGGGGAGCAACTAAACCATCCTGTGGTGAGAAATAATCTGTGTGATCTTAGACTGTGTGAACCCCCTGTGTCTGAGCAGCGGTAGGCTGTATTCAGACAGCCAGATAGGAAACTTGTGTTTGCAGTTAGACGCCCAGTGTGGCAAGGTTTTATTTTCTGTTTATATTTTTTTTTTTTTTGCTGTTTTGACTATATGCACTGTGTGTTCACCAGACTTGTAAATAAAAGCACAACTTTTCACCAAGATCCTGCTGAGCCTCTTTCACGGTGTTTTGACCCATCCAGGGGGTCAAGCACAACCCGCTACTGGGCTAATCCCTCACTATATATATACACACATATTATATACAAACACACACACACAGTTAGGTCCATATATATTTGGACACAGGCACAATTTTAGTTTTTTTCAGGTATTTACCAAAACATTTTAAAAGCTATAGTTATATAATGGATATGGGCTGAAAGTGCACACTCTCAGGTTTAATTGAAAAGGTATGTACATCCAAATTGGAGGAAGGGTTTAGGAATTACAGCTCTTAAGAACAGCCATTCCCCTTTTTCAAGGGACCAAAAGTAATTGGACAATTGAATCAAAAGCTGTTTCATGGCCAGGTGTGGGCTACGCCTTCTTTATTTCTTCATTAATTAGGCAGGTAAAAGGTCTGGAGTTGATTCTTAGTGTGGTATTAGCATTTGGAATCTATTGCTGTGAACCTACATCATGCATTCAAAGGAGCTGTCCATGCAAGTGAAACAGGCCATTGTAAAGCTTCGAAAACAAAACAAAACAAAACAAAACCATCAGAGAGATAACAGCAACATTAGGAGTGGCCAAATCAATAGTCTGGTACATTCCGAGGAAAGAAGAACGCACTGGTGAGCTCAGCAATATAAAAAGGCATGGACGTCCACAGAAGACAACAGTGGTGAATGGCCGCAGGATCCTCTCTATGGTAAAGAAAAACCCATTCACAACATCCAGACAAGTGAAGGACACTCCAGGAGGTGAGCGTATCATTGTCAAAGTCTACAATCAAGAGTAGACTTCACAAGAGCAAATACAGAGGGTTCACCACAAGATGCAAACCATTCATAAGCCCAAAGAATAGAAAAGCCAGATTACACTTTGCCAAAAAACATCTTAAAAGCCAGACCAGTTCTGGAAAAGCATTCTTTGGACAGATGAAACTAAGATTAATCTATAACAGTATGACGGGAAGAAAAAAAGTGGCAAAGGCTTGGAACAGCTCATGATCCAAAGCACACAGCGTCATCTGTTAAACATGGTGGAGGCAGTGCGATGGCATGGGCATGCATGGCTTCCAGTGGCACTGGGTCATTGGTGTTTATTGATGATGTGACAGAAGCAGCCAGATGAATTCTGCAGTGTTTACAGATATACTGTCAGCCCAGATTCAGCCAAATGCAGCAATGTCGATTGGACGGCGCTTCACAGTACAGATGGACAATGATCCAAAACACACTGCAAAGCAACCCAGGAGCTTTTGAAGGAAAAGAAGTGCATGCGTTTCACTTGCTGAAGGCAAAACTAAAGGCAGAAAGACCCACAAAGAACAACTGAAGACAGCTGCAGTTAGAGCCTGGCAAAGCATCAGAAAAAGAGGAAAACCAGTCTTTGGTCATGCCCATGAGTTCCAGACTTCAGGCAGTCATTGCCAGTAAAGGATTCTCAACAAAAAATTAAAAATGAACATTTTAGTTATGATTATATTTATTTGTCCAATTACATTTGAGCCCCTGAAAATGGAGGGATTGTGTATAAAAATGGTTGCAGCCCCTAAAATTTGTACTTGATATTTATGTTTAACCCCTTGAATTAAAGCTGAAAGTCTGCACTTCAAATTCATTTGGACTGCTTTGTGCTAATTTATTCTGGTGGCATACAGAGCCAAAAGTATGCAAACTGTGCCTGTGTCCAAATATATATGGACCTAAGTGTGTGTATATATATATATATATATATATATATATATATATAAATATATAATAATAAAATGTATTTATTTATTATTGAACCTGGAATAAAATTGAATAAATCAACCTGACATAATATGTGAGTGACATGGTCAGTATACCTCGATTCCATGTTTTGACTGCACAAAAACAGCAGCAAGATAGACTGTTTTATATAAATAGTATTATACAGAATTTATATAGAGCCAACAGTTTACACAGCTCTTTACAATATAAGGGGGGGACAGTAAAATTATAATACAGTTTGATACAGAAGAAATTGGAGGGCCCTGCAGGGAAGGGGGAGGTGGCACAAAAGTAATAGCTGCAGGGCATGATCTGATGGAGGTGACTCAAGTACATTTCTTAGATGGAGTAGGCTTCCATGAATAAATGTGTTTTCAAGGATCCTCTAAAGGCAGACAGGGTAGGAGCTAACCAGACATATTGGGGCAGGGAGTTGCAAAGGATTGGAGAGGCTCTGGAGAAGTCCTGTAGGAGAGCATGGGAGGAGGTAACAAGGGAACTGGAGAGCAGGTCTTGGGAGGAGTGGGGAGGACGGTTTGGGCGATATCTGCAGATGAAGATGGTGATGTAGCTGGGGGCGATGTTGTGGATGGTCTTGTATATGGTGGTTAGTATTTTGAATTTTATACGTTGGGCTAGTGGAAACCAGTGAAGAGATTGGCAGAGAGGGGCAGCAGTCACAGATCGGTTAGTAAAAAATCTTTTTAAGTTTTTTTTATTCAGCGGTTCCATTCCCAACTATCCATACATTAATGTGGCTATAAACCCTTCCATATACCCAGTGAGGTGACTGGCCTCAGGTGATAAACAGAGATGAGACAAATCCTCCTACATAACTTGTACCCATTTATCTGCAGTCTGCTCTAAAACCCTGCACAGTGCCAAATTTATATTTAAAAAACTTTTAGGTACTGCCAACGGTGGAATGGTTGAGTCTAAATAAGGGCTTGATCACATGGGTGCCCATGTTAATGAGCCCTAAAACATTCAATATTGTGTTACATAGATAGATCTGTACAAGTCAAGGAATCTTCCTTACCTTTAATCCAGGAAGAAACTCCGCTTTGCTTTCCAGAGCTACAACATTACAACCAGCGTCTAGCAATGCTCGAGTAAGAACTCCTGGGCCTATACATAAAATAGTAAGATAGATGACAAAATGTGAATTGCCTTGCTAAAGATGCAGCACAAAGATGTACAGTATCTCACAGAAGTACGTACACCCCTCACATTTTTGTAAATATTTTATTCTATCTTTTCATGTGACAACACTGAAGAAATGACACTTTGCTACAATGTGATGTAGTGAGTGTACAGCTTGTATAACAGTGTAAATTTGCTGTCCCCTCAAAATAACTCAACACACAGTCATTAATGTCTAAACCGCTGGCAACAAAAGTGAGTACACCCCTAAGTGAAAATGTCCAAATTGGGCCCAATTAGCCATTTTCCCTCCCTGGTGTCATGTGACTCGTTAGTGTTACAAGTTCTCAGGTGTGAATGGGGAGCAGGTGTGTTCAATTTGGTGTTATCACTCTCTCTCATACTGGTCACTGGAAGTTCAACATGGCACCTCATGGCAAAGAGCTCTATGAGGATCTGAAAAAAAGAATTATTGCTCTACACAAAGATGGCCTCGGCTATAAGAAGATTGCCAAGACCCTGAAACTGAGCTGCAGCACGGTGGCCAAGACCATACAGCGGTTTAACAGGACAGGTTCCACTCTGAACAGGCCTCACCATGGTCGGCAAAAAAAGTTGAGTGCACGTGCTCAGCATCCTATCCAGAGGTTGTCTTTGGGGAATAGACGTATAAGCGCTGCCAGCATTGCTGCAGAGGTTGAAGGGGTAGGGGGTCAGCTTGTCAGTGCTCAGACCATACGCCACACACTGCATCAAATTGGTATGCATGGCTGTCATCCCAAAAGAAAGCCTCTTCTAAAGATGATGCACAAGAAAGCCCGCAAACAGTTTGCTAAAGACAAACAGACTAAGGACATGGATTACTGGAACCATGTCCTGTGGTCTGATGAGACAAAGATAAACTGATTTGGTTGATATGGTGTCAAGTATGTGTGGCAGCAACCAGGTGAAGAGTACAAAGACAAGTGTGTCTTGCCTACAGTCAAGCATGGTGGTGGGAGTGTCATGGTCTGGGGCTGCAGGAGTGCTGCTGTAAAACACAAAGAACTCACTGCTAAAACAAGGAAACAGAGGGCGCACCAGCATTACCCGAGTTAACTTTATTGAGTTAAAAGGAGATATATACTCACAGACGACTGTGTTGACAAAGGCATATCAGTATCCAAAGCAATCACGTCACCAGGTCAGCTCCCAAAGCATAAGACCCTCAAATGGCTGATGCATTTCTAGGGGCAACTCCCTCTTCATAAGAGCCAATATCAATTGTTCCATAAGCAATCCTTTTATATAAGGAAATGAGGTCACATGGGTAAAATAGACTTCTCACACAGAAGGGAAGGAGTGATGGCCCAAATACTATACAGCTGGTTGCGAGCTGGGCAATACATGCTCATAAAGACATAATGGTGTGATATGATTAGCCCATAAAAGTATCATGCGTTTGTGACGATCGCGGCGTCAGATCCCCAGCCCTTCTCACCAACTTGTGACTGAAGGACTAGCCAATCTAAAACCGCGCTGTCACGTGCATAACAATGCCATGCTAAGCTGCACCGTGCACAAAGATTTTCCAGCTAATGGACCACAATCTATGTACCTGCAGCCTGAGAGCGATTGTTACTGGGTCAGGTTAATTATGAAATTAACCCTTCACACTGCCACCACCGCCTTTTTGTAGAGAATAGGAGGAAACTCACCAATATTAGCAATAACACTATGATGTTTGAATAATCGTCTGTATACCACTGTCACCGCAGGCAGAGATATATAGAGGTTTAAAAACACACAGTAGCGCTCTTCAGAGACAGGGATTCTTAGTTTCCATTAAAGAGCTTTAGAAACAGTTCAACACTTTTCAGATAATAGGATTATTACTACAGCGGTCAAAATGGGGCAATAAGCATATTTACAGAAAAAGATGTAGCCAAAACATATATACAAATAAATATATATAAAAATACAGAGAGCAATAACACAACAAAGAGAAAACCAAAGTCCTGGGTTAAGCAGATCAAGTTTCAGAGCAAAAGGGTACCGTCTCCCATGTTGGTTCCAATGTTAAAAGGGAGAATTCTTTAACTTCAACCAACTGCTCCAAGCATAACAGCCCTTTTCTAGGAACTCATCAGGTGTCTCCTTAAAGCAGAGAACCAATCGCCTCATTTGGGGAGGGGTGTTGTAGGCGGGGGACTCAGGCTAGAACCAAAATCCCTCCTAAGTTATACCAGGGTCAATAACCTTCCCTAGGTACATGTAACATTCTATCCAAGGGTAGATTAATATGCAAAATCATCTGCTGAATGTCTAGATATCAAACATGCCATATTTGACTATTCCAGCTAGAACTATATGGCTTTCTGCTCTCCTATAGACTTCCACTAAGGGTGTAAGATATCAGACGACTCGCATTAAACTGAGCTATCCGAATATATGCTTTATGTTTATGTAATTATTTCCTACCTTAAGATATAAAATTATATGGAAAAGTGGGTTTAAATGTGAGGTCTGTTTTACTGCTAGCTGGAATGTCTTTGAAGCCCAATGAAGGACTGGTTTATGGTTTTACGATTATCTCAGATTGAGAAACTAACAGACACTCGGGCACCAGCTAATTTGGGTTTATAACCATGAAGCTCTCCAGCTGGGGCCTGATGCCCTTTGAACTCAGCATACATACACAGACCACATTCCTGAGAAGGGGGATTGGAGGGAGAGAGAGAGGAGCAAGATGGAAGACTGCGTCCATCTCTGTACGTACGATTGCTACAGTGTTTTCCATTGATACTTTTATGGGTTATAAAAGGATTGCTTATGTAACAACTGATATGGGCTCTGATGAAAAGGGAGATCGCTCCTTGAAACGACGTGTCAGCCATTTGAGGGTCTTCTCATGCTTTGGGAGCTGACCTGGTGACTTGATTGCTTTGGATACTGATATGCCTTTGTCAACACAATAATTTGTGAGTATATATATCATTTTTTAACTCAAAGTTAACTCTCAGGTAATGCACTAGGCCGATGCGCCCTCTGTTTCATTGTTTTTGCAGTGTTTTCATGAATCATGCATGGCTTGGCTTCTGGATACAACTGCTTTTGTACTCAATTAAGATCATACACGTTATATCATGCCCCAAGGGCTGACACCAATGATGGGGCACTATTCCTCCCACTGACACCAATGATGGGGCACTATTCCTTCTCCTAATACAAAAAATGGAGCATTGTTTGCTCCCATAGACACAGAACATCTCCTGCTCCCAATGGCCACAGTCTGGCCACCCTAACGTTTGAAGGACAGTAAATTAGACCTTGGTTTAGAAAGTTTGGAGACTCCTGATCTAATGTAGTGCTGTCTATCCACATAAGATTTCTGTAGCTAATATGATGTGCTGCACAATTAAAAAAAAAACGAATTCATGTCAATCAATACAAAGCTATTACAGTTATTATAAAGCTAAGATATGAGCTGGTTGAACCCCCCACTACTAAATTATGTTTTTAATCCAGGTATAGTCTGTAAATAACTATTTTTCGCCAAACCTCAATACAGATTTAGTTATGCACTATCCTTTTTTCAAAACAATGAATGATTTTCAAAATCGCTGTAAATAATTTTATAGACATATTTACTTATATTTTTCAAGGTAATGTTAATACTAAGAATTCTAGAGGTTACCTGGGTTGCACTCCATTATAATTGGTGTGGTTCTACAATGCAAAGGATCAAGGCCATACAAAATGTTGTTCACCAGTCCAGAGTCTGTTATAAACCTTTGAGACCGATTGAGCGAATCAACTATATTCATTTCGTTGCCCAGTTCCGACAAGTCTACTGTGAAGGGTTTGTGCTGTTTCTGACCAGCGACAGTTGATTTTCCACAGGAAGATGAACATTTCCCTGAATTTGTAGACCTTCGATCTGTATTGCTGTGACTTTTTCTGCAAAAAAAACACAAAGGGCACCCCCAGTTGTGGCCCAGAACGCAGAAAGCACAAACCCAGCCGGATTCCTGCGGCTGAAGACATTATGTCAGCTTTGATGAGATCTTACAAGAAGAATTAGACCTGCCTGTAAAAATAAAACATATTTTCAAATAACAAAATAAATACATATGCATCTATTTTCAAATAACAGGAGTCAAAAAAAAACAATGAAGTTTGAGTTAAAAACAGCGTTCTATTTTAAAAGAAAAACACACCAAATTTCCAGAGCCTCCATATTAGGAGCACATAAAAGATTGGATAGATTAAGGGCAGATATGCCTGGAAGGAGCCCGCCCCTCCTTAAAAGGCACAGGGACACATGTGACGCCTAACAAGAGCACAATGGCAGCAAAGGCGTCCAGTGCATCCCTGCACTGAATCTGTCCAAAGAGGAAGTACAATGCAGGACTCCTGCAGACTGTTAGTGTAATCTGCCTGTACACCCAACAGGAACCATCAATGAACTGCTGGAGTGCTCAACAGCACTGTTGTAGCTCATTGAGAATTAAAAGCCAACATCTGCAAAGAATGTCGGTACTTGTAGTGGATTAATTCAGAACTCTGTGAATGAATGGCACGGCCAAGTGGGCGCTCCGTGCTCTTGTAAAAAAGTGACAGCTGGTACAGGGCACTTTTCCCCGTACTGCTGTCACACAGAGGGCTTGGATCGCCGAGCCGCTGCAGGAGAGTGAAAATGTTACATGTTCCACCTGTTACATGTTCCCAAAGGTGAACCTTTGCTTTAACCCTTTCACTGTCAGAGCCATTTTGCTTTTTTGCACGCTTAAATAAATAATTTTTAGGTCAGAACATAAAACCCCCAAAACATATATTTTTGAAGAAACTGAATACGCTGCGCTACCACAACCATTGTGCTTTTCGTGCTACCACAGAAACTACGCTGCTCAAAAAAAAAAAAAAAATTAAAGGAAGACTTTGAAAACACATCAGATCTCAAAAGGAGAAAAATTTCATACACAGCAGTGGAGCATATTCAATTTCCTCACTGACACAGTTATTTGTGTTTATTGCTAGCAGCAGCCTCTGGATTGCCATTTAACCACTGCGCAGGAATGTGGAGATATTGATATATTTTCTGAAAGTCGACATCCTACAGAATAAAATAGCAGTAGTTCCAATTTTTTGTCACAAGATATTACTGCAATTGCTAACCAAACAGATACCAAACATGTCAAAACGCAAGTTTTTTGCGGTTTCACAGGTGCACACAATTTTCAGTACCATATATATTCTATAGACAACACATTGAAAGCCCCCTACAGGTCATCAGTGTAGCGTTACAGAAAAGGTCTGGGAAGACTGTCAACGGGGACGTCACTTCTGGGTCAGGAACAAGATGGGGAGGAGAGTGGACATGTCATTTCTGGGGAAGTCCTGTATACCAACTGCGTACAGATGGCCTCCAGGCTGCCATATTGCATTGAATTTTACAGAGAATTCTAATTCTGCAGATCGAAAAGGAAAGGTAATTTTTTAATAACATTAAATTGCAATATTACTTGTGTAACATTAGTATATGCTATTTTTTTTATTTGCTACTTTTTGTCCACAAAAATGCAGTTACCCTTTGAGGTTATTAATGCATGTTTAAATGGTCAATTATAGTTGTTTTGCATGTGTATGCAGCATGTTAAGAGCATCACAAGCATTTGGTACACATTTGTGATGCGATCCTACTGACTTCTCCAGTCACATTTGGTAAATGGCGACACCTGCCAAATGTGACATGCTGAGTTAAATTTGCCGTATTGTAGTTATGGCAATGTGTACGGACCTGAGTGACCCTCATTCTAATTTGTAGGTAGGTGATCAGTAAAAATACAGTTGTGTGAACTTAGAATAAAGGCAAACCTGTGATTTTGTTTAGAGATGAATCAAGGTACAAACAAGCTAGCTATTTGGCCAACACTATCCCTTCAACTGACAATGATAAAGATCACAATAGGTACAGAGAATCCACCCCAGTCATATGGTTTGTAATGGTATGGCCCACTAGATACCACCCACCTAAAAGTTCAATCTCCCTTGTGCATTAACAGGAAGGTGAACAGCTTTGATCAGTCTTGTTACCCCCTAGTTTTCTGAAGGGACACAAAGATTTTGTCTGAGACCCCTGGACATCTTCTAAGCCTTAGATTACTGCCTAGGTTGTCTTGTAAATGATACTATACCAGTGAAGTCAAAGGGGATTCGATGTCAATGTAACATCTGACCTCCATACTTTGTCAGAACGTTGAACAGCCCCATGGAGCACACGTGGAGAGCCAATCTCCCAGTGGAATCCGCACTACCGAGCTGTCAATGTGACAATTTGGTTCTACTCTTCATTAACTACTTGCCGACCGCAGATAGCCGAATGACGGCTGCACTGCGGCCGGCCAGTTCTGGGGTGGACGTCATATGACGTCCTCCCCGAACGCGCTCTCCTGCGCACACCCGGGGATCTCCGTGATCGCTGTGTCCTACGGACACAGCTGATCACGTGACGTGGTAAAAGGCCAATCACATCGGATTTTTCAAGCAAGCTTATAATGGATTTGTCAAAAATAATTTGTGTTATTACAATGCCAATGTTATAAAATGAAAGTGTATGCTGTGACTATGGATCTCCTTTAACTTATGAATGAAAGCTACAGTTATAACACTTATTTATTAAAGTGGTTGTAAAGGCTGGATATTTTTTTGACCTTAATGCATTCCCTGCATTAAAGTGGAACTTTAGCATGAAGTGATGTAGCAGGACTTAATTTTCTGACTAGTCTCTTTTGCAGGTATGGCTATGTAAAACATTAAAAATACGTGTCTATACTGTTTAAAATCCAGTAATACGCTGTTTCACCCAGCTCTGCACATGCTCGGCTGCTCTCTATGTTTTGGCTCTGTGCCGAAAATGTAGAGGCTGACCTGCTGACAGCCTAAAGACTTACTGCTGCTCAGGGCTTCAGCAAAATGGCAGCTTCCAGCAAAAAGAAACAAGAGCAGCGCAGGATGCAATTTACAGCACACACTAATTTTGGTGGCATAATTAACCACTTGCCCAACAGAGGATTTACTGACCTGACCATGCCATTTTTTTGTGATACACGCTGCGTTACTTTAACTGACAATTGCGCGGTCATGCAATGCTGTACACAAATAAAATGGATGGCCTTTTTTCCACTCAAATAGAGCTTGCTATCGGTGGTATTTGATCACCTGTGCATTTTTATTTTTTGTGCTATAAACAAAAAAGACTGACAATTTAAAAAAAAAAATATATAAATATAATGTATTTTTTTTTACTATTTGCTATAAAACATATCCTGTAAAAAAAATTTAAAATGTCTTCATAAATTTAGGCCTACAATATATTCTGTTACCCGTCTTGGCTAAAAAAAATAATCCCAAGACGTGTAAATTAATTGGTTTACAGCATGGGTGCCAAACTGGTGGCCCTCCAGCTATTGCCAAACTACAAGTCCCATGAGGCATTGCACAACTGACAGTTACAAGCATGACTCCCAAAGGCAGACAGGACTTGATGGCAACAGCTGGAGTGCCGCCAGTTTGACACCCCTGGTTTACATGAAACTTATAGTGTCTACAAATGGCAGTATATATACTGGAATTTTTTTTTTTTTTTTTTTATTGCTAATGGCGGCAATCAGTGACTTATAGTGGGACTGCGGCGGGCATTCTGACACTTGGGGGGGAACTGACTTAACTTCCACTGACATCCCAATCACACTTATACAGTGATCAGTGCTAATAAAAAGAACGGACACTGTACTAATGACACTGGGCAGGAAGGGGTTAACATCTGGGTGACCAAAGAGTTAACTGTGTGCTGTTTTAGGCTAGGTTCACATCTATGCAGTATGCCTTTGATCCGTTTCTGCAGTGCATTTTGCCTGGGGTTTTTTTTTTTTTCAACTTGTGCAGAATAAAATGCAAAACGCATCAAAAACCGTACTACATGCTTTTCTGCAGCATCTCCATTGAAGTCTATAGAACCAAAAACACAACGTTATGCATTTTAAAAAGTCCCTGACCCCTTCCAAAAAACACACCAGGTGAAAACGCGGAGATGTGAACCTGTCCAATAGGAAATCATGTTAAATGGACTGCTGTGCGTTTCTGCAAAACACTGCGGAAACCGCATAGGTGTGAACCTAGACTTGCTGTGTATGTTTTACTAGGGAAACATACTGCTGTGTATTTCTCTGTTGTGCAAACAGAAACAATTGAGTACTGTCCGTGATACTTTTTTTATTTACACTAACATACAATTTTGAGGACAAGCTTTCGGGGAATGTCCTCTTCTTCAAGGTCTAAGCAGTACTCTGTTGTGCAAAGAAATACACAGCAGCATGTCACTGCTGGCAGGAGAGAGTCCTGTGTTGTTTACACGCAGGTCTCTCTCCTGTCAGTGATACTCTGCGATCGCCGGTGGGGAATCTCTGGCTGGGACCTGGTGATCGATATCTGCAGTCGACGATGGCGGTGCCCCCTACCCAGAAATGAGAAATCACGTGTATATATACACGTGATTTTGTGCAGCCCTGTCGCAGTAGTTCTGCTATAGGGTGGTAGGGAAACGGCTAATATTGTGGAATGTTATGTTATCATAGAACATTATTTTTCATCATGTTGTTATGGGTAAAGTTCTTTTACACACAGAGCAGCTGAGAATCGGTGCGTCCCTCCAGGCTGCATCTGGTCTGGCTGTACTCTGTAATGGTGCCAGCATTTAGAGCCCCGCGCATTCAGGGCCGAAGGTCCAGGATACAGAAGACCTGTGTTCGAACCTTCTAAGCGCGTGTACCACTGCACAGAGTTCCTCCCACTCCTGCCATAGATTTTGATTGTCTGCCTGCAGTGGGCTGGATGCTGCACCCCTCCCTCCTCACTTTTTTTTTCTTTTGCAGAAGTATTTTGTTGTATTCTGGTTTGCATTTTATTTTTTTTTACCAAGCATTTTGTTGCATTTACTCCCACATTTATCAATTTCTGGCAACACACGCGTGACGTGCAGATGTGA